AAACCCCTGAGAGAGTGTTAGATGAGTCCAGAGTCATGAACAGAGCTGTAGAAGATCCTAAAATGACCAAACAGCTGTAGAACATCAAGAATAAAGTTATAATTATAATCCAGAATGCATCATATTTAAAAGGTGGAGGTAAAATCTTACAGAACACCTTATACATTGAATTAAATAGATGCAACATATTACTATCTAATAAACTGTGTGTATAGTATTCATGTTATTGGGGCTGAGCAATGTGACAACATATATCATTATTGTGATAAATTATGGCACAATATGATATGCTTTTCTGGTCATATTGTGTATATCATCAGTGCTTGTAGACACTGACCAACTGCATGTTTCATGATAAAGAGAGCAAAATTAGTCAGTTTCACTGAATTTCGTGCCAAATAATGAATAAAAATGACTGTGTTTACAGTTTCTGATGGTATTTTAAATGTAGCTCTGCTGGCTCTTTTTTCTCTGTTCCAAATGATCAGATGTCTGAAAAAATAAATATTGTGACATATCGTGTAACGTGAAAATTACCTGAAGTATCGCGATATTAAATTTTTGCCATATCGCCCACCTCTACATATTACATTATATGATACAATATTATGATATAATGACTTTCTGTTCAATGAATTGTTGAAATTTCAAATGAAACATTGAAAAATGCCTTTTGGGGAATAGTTCATTATAATTAAGTACACATAATATTTCGCTGCTGTCAGAAGAAAACCTTGTATCTCCATTTTTGTCGTTTTTCAGTTTTTGACATAATTTGAAAATGATTGTTGCTCTTTACATTGTGTGTAAACTTCACGATGAATGGACCAAAAGAAACGGCCCAAAATGACTTGGAAAGAAGTCTGGTTCCATTGACTTACATTAAAAGTAAAGTAGGTTTTTTCCTTCTCCTGTAAAGTTACTATTTTGGAGATACAAGGTTTTGTTTCCGACAGCAGCGATAAGTTATTATTGCGTATTAAACAACAAAAATTGCTAATATGGTCAGTGATTCCAAACTTTCGAACATGCGTATATCACGTAATCATCATGATTAAACTGATTAAACACTGATTAAAAAATTAAAAATAAGTTCCAAAAAAGTTCAAAAGTATGTGCTACTTTTTATTATATAAAATTAAAGTATTTTGCTTTAATTTTCATGATGCACTGAATCGTCTTCTAAATAATAATAATATATTTGAATCATTTAATTGAATCACTCTATATATATATATATTTATAAGTAGCTTTAAAGGGCCAATATCCTACATATTTCTTGTATTTTAGGTCCAGATCATGTTTACATGATACATCATTTAGAATTAAACAGACTGCGCCTTTAAGGCTGATATTTTTAAATGAGCTCTGTTCTGATTGGCTGCCCAGTGGTGTCTTAAATTAAAGAAGCAGCCGAGGCTGAAACACTCCTTACAACTTCAGTGTGAGTGGGCGGGGCTAAACTGCTGTAGGCTGAATAGGAGGATACATATAATTAACTGGTTTTTATGACATCACAAACATGAATCGAAAAACTGGCTGTTTTTGCAATTTAGTTTCTAAAAATGGAGATATGTTATATTTTTAAAACTCTTTCATAGTGAAAACAAAGAAAAAAAGCACTTTTCCATCATACAGGCCCTTTAAACCTGCCTGCAGTCAGTGCATTTGTTCTTTAAATCCATTGAACCTCCACCTTTTTGTGAACATCAGAGCTAACGCCTCAGCCCAGCCGGTAATGTGAACCCCAGCACGCCCGATCCTGCTCGTGTCAGACCCTGAAACCCAGTCTGTCAGACTCTCACCTGAGACCAGAAAATCAGGCTCTTTAAGGAAACAACACTGTCCCGAACGAGAAGAGCAACATGGGTACAATGTTCAGGGCGGGGAGCACACACGCTCACACATTGTTCAGATTCCATTTCACTTCCCACCCAGTCACTCATCCACACTCGTACAAAGACCATTCACTCGCTCACACAGCTGTTAATGAACTAATCAAGTCATGAATTCATTAATGAAGTATGTGAATCACCTGCTGTAGCAGTGCAGCTTCAGCCAAACCCCACAAATACAGACTGAACTTTCATGCTGTGGCACAAACACAGCCAGCAAATCATTTAGCTCTGACATTAACGGCGAATTACACAAGAATCATTCACTATAATCACCTGTATACCAGTTTACGCAGAGGCTTATTCAGATTTGCGCACTTCTGTGTGAAAACTGCTCTGATAATCTTAACTAAAGGGGTAAAATAAGGATTTATGCGAGGAATGACAGCTTTAGAGCACGTCTCCATTCACTGGCCTTTCATAAAACTCTTTTATTCCATCTTTATGCTATTAAATTTGTATTTTAAATCATTTATTTATCCTTCTCTATCCTAATCTGGAGATGTAATCCTTTTATATCTTGCTTTTTTTAATGTGCACTGATTTGTAGCTCATATCTCCAGTAATTTAAGTCTTATTTAAGACAATGGATCTGTTTCCCAGACAGGAATTAAGCCTAGTCTTGGACTAAACTGCAGTGGCAATGGTGAATCACCATTTAGACTTTACAGGAGATGGCAAAAATATACTGTGCTTTAATGTAAGTCAATGTAAACAAACTTCTTTCCAGGTAATTTTGTAGATTTGTCCACTCATCATGAAATTTCCACACAGTGTAAAAAGCAACTGGCATGTTTAAGTTATGTAGAAAAACAAAACAAAACAAAAAAACACAAAATTGGAGATGCAAAGTTTTGGGATCGATAATATAATGTATATAATGTATATAAAGGCAACCTTTGAGTGGGTATGTAGGTATGTACCCATCTAATAATTTAGTACTTATTACTACAAACCTTAAAGAAAAACATCTATAATAATGCTATAGATACTGTTATTACTATAGCATATAATGTTACAGACATAGAGGACCTTCAACAGGATCCCTATATGACTTATACAGATTATTACAGAAGATGTCTAGAGAGTAATACAGGATGCTACAAAAGTATTATAGATTAGTATATGAGCACTGTAGGAATATCATACAGAGCAGAAAAATATAGAAATATTATATAACTATAATTCTATTCAATGGGCAGACTGAAAGAACCAACTCCTTTAACTCTAAAGCAACTCAAAATAGGGCACTACAGGCTAAAGATGACTATCAGCACAGAGTGTCATCCTGTTTATGATGATACAGCACAGACAGAGCCTGTCACGGACTGTGCACATTGAAAATAGCTAATGCCCAAAGCAGGCCTGACCACTTATCTACACTAAAAGGTCATAACAAACACATATGTTGGGTCTGTCTGGGTTTCTCCTGGTCCAGTTCCAGTGCGAGAGCAGAGATAAGGAGGAGAAAGTGAATGAAAGCTTGCTTTAGTATCTGCATGCAGAGCAGTGAAGTGACCCGACCTGTTAGAGAGCCGGGCCTGCCCACCACACCCTGCACTCAGCAAGAAAATACAAACAGGACACGGCGTTCACTGATTTCACCTCTGAGGAACAGCTGAAGTGTAGAAACGAGCGCCTACAGAGAGAAACGTACGCCCAGACAAACCCCCAGCCCCCAGTCCCCTCTGTCAGTGGAGGATTCCTGCAGTCTTTAACTCAGTCTTACTCAAAGTCTGTTGAACTCAATGCTACAGTGTCCAGTATCCTGTAAACTGGTTTCCCAGACATGGTTTAAGCCTAGTCTCAGCCTAAACTGCACTGCCTATGGTGTTCAACACTATACCCCAGTCTCCCGGACCTAGTTTCGAACTAAATTGCAATGTCAACAGTGATTTAACCCTTTAATCCAAGGATTAAGCTTAATCTCTCAGTGCTTTAAGTCTGGGTCAGTTTCCCAGACAAGGATTAAGCCTAGTCTTGTCCTAAACTGCACTGCATATGGTGTTTTACCATTAAAAATGCCATTTAGTCTGGGCTAAGGCTTAATCTGGGCATGGATAACAGCTCCTATGTGTTCTTTCTACACTTTTTTGACACAGATTAGACCTAGTCTTGGACCAAAGTGTAACATCAGTGAGAATTTACCCCTAAAAAGCCTTTTTAGTCCAGGATTAAGCTTAATCCAGGGCTATAAAAGTGACCTCAACACTATAAACCAGCCTCCTGGACCTAGACTTGGAGTAAAGTGTAACATCAGTGAGGATTTACCCCCGACAAGCCTTTTTAGTCCAGGATTAATCTTAGTCCAGGGCTATAAAAGTGACCTCAACACTATAAACCAGCCTCCTGGAACTAGACCTGGACCAAAGTGTAACATCAGTGAGGATTTACCCCTGAAAAACCTTTTTAATCCAGGATTAAACTCAATCTAGGACCATAAAAGTGACCTTAACACTACAAACCCGATCTCCTGGACCTAATTTGGGACTAAACTGCAATGTCAATGGTGATTTGCCCTTTTGGTCAAAGATTAAGCTTAACCTAGGCTCAGGAAACCCACTTTTTTGACAGTAATCTCAGCACTGTAAATCATATCTAACACAATGGGGCAGTTTCCCAGATAAGGATTAAGCCTAGTCTTGGACCAAAGTATAACACCAGTGAGGATTTACCCCGACACGCCTTTTTAGTCCCAGGATTAATCTTAATCAGGAAACCCACTTTATATGAGTTATCTTAATACCTTAAAGTCCTGTTTACCACTTTCCCAGACAAGGATTAAGCCTAGTCTTGGACTAAACTGTGGTTACTCTGGAAAGCTGGACCTATGAGAGTGAATCCAATCCCTCGAACACAGAAGGGACGAAGAGGAGGTATAAATCACACAAACGCACCACAGCAACTCCACTTCGCAGTGTAGAGTTACAGGGCTGAACTCGGCATCTCATTCGAACTTTCCGTTCCACCTTAAACGGCGCAGCAGTTACAAGCCGGCGCCTCAGGAGCCAGAATGTAACCGCTGCACCATTTAAGGTGGAGCGGAGAACTGGATGAAGGAGCCAGCTCCAGCCTCGCGTGCAGGTTTAGATCGGATGGACTCACTTTTTCTGCGTGATGGTCACGCTGTTCTTCGTGGTCTTCTTCTTAAACATGTCGCTCGGTAGAACCCGGGGTCCTCAGAGGTTCGGGCTTCAGCTCTTCAAGGCTCTCGCGCTCAGATTCTGCTCTCCACAGGTGGGACGCTCGCTCTGCTTCCCCCAGCACAACACCTCCAGCTGTCTGTCATTCGGCCAGCCGGACAAGCCCAGTTTCATTACGGCCTGGACTCCGCCCCCGGTGGGCGGGGCCAACCAGCGCCCAATCGGCGAACGGTCCAATGGGATAATTACTGAGACTGGATCTACAACAACACAGCTGAGGGCAGAGAGCGCAGAGTCCTGCATACAGTGGAGTATTTAATGCATAATACTGCAAAATTAAATATATAATACCATGCACTCTTAACTAACAGGGTTCTTCAAGGGTTCTTTAGTAAGGAGAGTAGCCCTATTTAGAACCATTTGCATGCTTCTTTGCATGGTGAAATGCTGAATTGGCAGAGAATAGAAAGGTTCTTCTGTTGTTACAAGCTTGACCATTTTCAAAAAGGTTCTACACTTTTAAAAAAGATGGTTCTTCAAGGGTTCTTTATAGAGCCATGGACACTAAAAGAACCCTTTGCATGATTAAGAGTTTTTGTATCATGCTGATTGATGGAGAATGTGCTATAGGTGGTTTGATAAAGAACGTTTTTGAAAAGTGTTCTATTTGGCACCCAAAAAGGTTCTTCTATTGTTACAAGCTTGACACTGTAAACAATAGAAGAACCCTTTTTGGTGCTATGTAAGGCCATTTTCAGAAAGGTTCTACACTCTTAAAAAAGATGTTTTTTCAAGGGTTCTTAAGTAAAGAAAATGGTTCTATATATCACCAGAAAGGGTTCTTCTACTGTTACAGGCTTGACACTGTTATAATAGAAGAAACCTTAATGGTTCTGTATAACACCAAAAAGGGTTCTTCTACTGTTACAAGCTTGACATTGTTATAATAGAAGAAACCTTTTTGGTGCCATATAGAACCTTTTGCAAAAGATTTTACACTGTTGAAAAAAGATGGTTCTTCAAGGGTTCTTTAGTGAACAAAAGTGGTTCTATATAGAACCATGAACACTCAAGGAACCCTTTGCAAGGAACCCTGTTCTATATAAAACGTTTTTGAAAAGCGTTCCATATGGCACCCAAAAGGGTTCCTCTATTGTTACAAGCTTGACATTGTTACAACAGAAGAACCCTTTTTGGTGCTATATAAAACCTTTTTCAAAACGGTTTACGTTGTTGAAAAGATGGTTCTTCAAGGGTACTTTAATAAGGAGAATGGTTCTATATAGAACCATGAACACTCAAAGAACCCTGTGCATCATGAAAGGCATCTTTAAATTGATGGAGAATGTGCATGAATGTGCTAAAGACGGTTCTGAAAAGGGTTCTATATGGCACCCAAAAGGGTTCTTCTGTTGTTACAATCTTGGCATTGTTACAATAGAAGAACACTTTTTGGTGGTACATAGAACCATTTTCAGCTAGGTTCCATGTAGAACCAGCTATGGCACATTCTTCGTCTACCTACAGAACCGTTTTATGATGCAAGGAACTGTTTTATCATGCAAAGGGTTCTTTGAGTGTTTATGATTCTATATAGAACCACTTTTTTATGTAAGAACCCTCAAAGGACCACCTATTTTAAGAGTGTATATAGAACCGTATACAGCAATCAATCTTGAGGACATTTTCACCGTGCAAAGAACCATTTAAGCATGAAATGGTTGCGTATAGAGCTCATGGTCCTCTTTACTGAAGAACGCTTGAAGAACCGTCTTTCTTAAGAGTGTGTAATTGCATGATATGGGATATACTTGCATGATATGGGTCATATACTGACTAATATATAATTACATAATGTATCATTTGAGTAAGTTAGTTATGTAATCAGATATTAAGTATGATTTCAGCTCTTACACTATAACTAGAGGGGGGGGTGCCAAAACATTTTGTGTCTGGGGGGAGTGCAGGGTGGGCTGAGGTCCTGAAAGACAATATAAAGAAGTCAGGTGGGCTTCAAATTCAAATACTTTAAAATAAAACAATTAGAGTTTAATAAATTATACACAGAATAAAAATATGTGTGTTCTCTCATTGGCTGAGGAGAATGGGGGTACTGATGGGTCAAACGGCTTCATGGGTCAACTCTGGGCAGCACTGCATGGCCCTGTGATTACTGACATGTTTATTTTGGATGATTTGGTATGAATTATTAGATCAGCGAAGGCTGACCGTCTGTCTGCATGTCCGTCCGTAAATCTGTCAGCCTGTTCAGTGTCCTGGGTTCTCCAGGTGTTCTGATGGCATTCCTTTGGTTGCAGCGGCTGGAGGCTAAGTGCTGTAGTCTCAGTCCTGCCTGGTGTTTACAGGGCGATTACAGTAACCAGTCTAACCTGTGCGTGGAGAGTGCTGGGAAGTGTCCTCTCCCTGCTGAATAGAGTTTGTTCGAGATCTAACAGAGGATTCATAGGAAATACTACTGCATGAAGCTCATCAGGAAGGCCTCTGTACTCGCTTATACACCCTTCAGTTATACAGTCTGCTGTTAAGGAGCAGTTCACCCAAAAATCTCATGTAGAGTTCCCCCAAATCAGAGGATGAGGCCCTAAGCAAAATTCAACTAAAGGGTCATCCTATCTGACCCCTGAGCCATGCAAAACATTTGCAGCAGCCACACAGTCACACCTGACACCACAGCACTCCCACTACATTCCTACCCCTTTAAACCAGTCTGCTCTGTCTGTCGCTCTGAGAATGAGTTGATCTATACAGAACAGACTGAGATACAAACAAACAAAACTATATGCTATTATACATTTTATCAGCTGCATCAGTCCCATTGAAACTCCTCCCCCAGATTTCCTCTTACATTTTCAATTATAATATACTATTTATAATGCAGCTTGGCTGAATACTTTTACTGAGACAGGTGCGTCCATATTGCCCAGTATGTCCAGCTAATCAATATTTTAAGCTCAATGTTTAATCAATAGTCAATGTCAGTCCATCGCTTTCCATCCTGCATCAGTCAGAGCTGTAACTAAACCTGACTGAGAGTCGAGATCATCGCTGTCTCCAATGAGGAGTCAGCATCACGCCCAGATACTGTCTGGACTGGACTGGACTCCACAGAGGCCGCTTTCACATATGAGTGTATGAACACATGTTTACGCATGACGCGGTTATCTTCTCCGAGCTGCTGTTTGTAAACGCAGTTGGAGTTCATTAAACATAGTAAATAGTTGTATTTCACTCTCACAGACTACAGAGAGACATGCTGCCCAACCAGCACAACTACCCCCCACCACCACCACCACCACCTCAAATGTAGTCAATCGGCCAAGGCTAATGTAGCTAACAAATAATTCTGACTAATAGCACGACAATCATGATAATGCAAATAAATCTTTACAGGAGAAGGAAAAAACCTGCTTTACTTTTAATGTAAGTCAATGGAACCAGACTTTTTTCCAAGTCTTTTTGGTTCGTTTCTTTTAGTCCATTCATCATTAAATTTACACACAATGTAAAGGCTAGCACGTATTTTCAAATTATGGGAAAAACTGGAAAATGTCAAAAATGGAGATACGAGGTTTTCTTCTGACAGAAGCGAAATACTTAAGCAGTGGAACACAGAGGGAGTGTGTTATCGCAAAATAACATCACGGCTGTGATTTGGTCGCCGAAGATCATCACAGCCGTGATGTTATTGGTGATAACACACTCCTCGAGTGTTCTACTGCTTTAATACAACAGTTAAATAAATACAGTAATAAATTAATAAACTGGGCCGTGAACGCGGCGTTTAATATGTTTTAATGTTCGCAGTTCCTTCACCAAATTATAGTTCCTTAACGAGCAGCTTGTTGCTACGTCAGAGTAACGAGCTCCGCCCACTCGCTGCACAGCCGGCAGTTCGTTCTCCAGCTCCACACAGACCGACTGACAGTTTGGGAATTTAGTGTAGTGTGATCTTCAGAGTCTGACCAAATCGGCTGTCGGTCAAATGTGATCTTAAGTATCCATTTTCTGTTTGTGGCAAAGTAAGAAGTAAAAACGTTCAAATGTCTTGAACCGTCTCCTACAGCTGTCAAAGTCGTTGCTTAGCAACAGCATCTCAGCGGAGTGATACAGTGTTTGTGAAAAAAAACGTGATGTCATGGTGAAATAACAGCACAGTTAGAAGGCCTCTCAACCAATCAGCTCGCATGACCGGAACTGACTGTTGTATAAATAAATAAATATATATATATATATATATTCTAGTCTGCAAAGAAAGAGAGAGAGGGATAGAGTCAGAGTGTAGAGTACAGTGAGAGAGAGAGAGAGAGAGAGAGAGAGAGAGTACATGCTGTAACTGTATGAAACAATGAGGCCGTTGTTTTCTGATCCTCTACAGTCAAATGCAGTGTAATATTCACAGGCTGGACTCCAGTTACAGTAACAGTCATGCACAGCCGAGGCCTCTTATAACACACTGCCTCCCAGGGCTTTGAGGACTTTTCCTTCTTTTGAAATCTGAGTAAAAAAAGTCTCACTGTGCAGGTTTAGTTTATGATAAAGCAGCTCTGCTGATGTTTCGTGTGTGTTTATGTTCAGCTTTATGCTCATAAGACTTCTTCTTGGAATGAAGAACAGATTTTAAATACTGATCTGACACTTTTCTTTTCTAAACTCTTCTTAAAAGCTCATATTTAAGCTCTTCTGGTCCAAAGGCGCTTAAACACCTGAAAGACTTGAGTGCTGACATGACAAGGGGAGAAAGTGGGCGTGGCCTTTTGACTTCTTTCCCAATACAGCACTGTCTAATACTAATACTGGTACAAATAATCCCTCCCCTGTTTGTTTTCCACTAAATAGACCTGATCAGGCCGTAATGTAGAAAGTTACTGTAAACCAACAAAACAGAACAAAACAAAGATGATTTGTATTGAAGCAGTTTGGACAGCGAGGTGTCCTCATACTTCTGATGCAGTCTGTGTGTGACTGTCAGTCAGTGTGGATCAGTCCAACTGAGCGACATGCTCTGCTGATCTGTGTTTGCATGGATTTTTCCGCCAATGAAAGAAGCTGGAAGGTAAATATCTGCAGTATTTTCACTCCAAACTCTAAACTCACTGGAAACAAAACTCCGCCCACGATGCAGCTTCTGTAGCTGCACTGC